GTGCTCAAAATGGAGCTTCCAAATCGCAATCCCGAGATGAATCACCAACCAGAAGAAGAATCGAAGGACAATCACAGAGTAAGAGAGTGAAGAAGAATCGAGAGCCCGGGCTTAAGACCTATATAGAGCCCTAAACAAAATTACCCGTGTGTGAGTCGATCGGTGCAGAGATGCAAAACCAGAGAGTGAGTGTGAGATTGATGAGATGAGAGAGTGAGGGAGCCGATTAGGTCAGATCAGAGATATATATATATATATATAACAAAAAAAATCAACGATCGGGAGAGAGAGAGACAGAGATTGAAAGAGAGAGTTTACCTGTGAGTAGATCGGCTGTGCGATGATGATCGGTGCGATGAGATGAACAACGAGAGAGTGAGAGGGTGATCGGTGCAGAAACGAGAGAGTAAGAGAGACAGTGAGAATCACTGTGTAAGAGACTGAAGAACAATCGATCCTCTGATAGAAAGAGAGAGCCAGAGAGTGAGTGAGTGACGGCTGTGCTCAAAATAGGGTTTTCAAAATAAAGGTTTGGAGAGACAGGAGAGGGTGTGAAGAGAGACGGGATTTGGAGGCGGTTTTCAAACGTCTTGATTCACAAAACGGTACCGTTTTAACTAATAACAAATACGACGTTTAAAAAACGCTGTTAATTATTAAAAAAAGTGACGTTTATTAAAACGCTGTTAATTAAACGCCGTTAAATCCCTAATTTCCTGTAGTGTTACTCTAATTTTTCAGGATAGACATTAAAATTTAAGCTTTATAAATCTACTAATTTAGACTTTTTAAATCACACCAAAAAAAAAAAAAAAAATGATAAAATGACACTTTTTTCTCGTAGAATATGGTTTCTCTATGGTTAATTTGTGCAATAAGTTATAAAATAAGTTTTCAAGACATAGATTATTGCCTAAAAAATTATATCTACTTGAGAGAATAAACAAAAACAAACAAATCTCTCTCTCTCTCTCTCTCTATATATATATATATATAAAATACATTAATGATCACATTTTATTTACCATCTCATGCGATAACACTATATTAGCAATAAGAATAAATAATGACATTCATTAAACTAATATAATATTGACACATAAAGTAATAAACAAATTATTATAAAAAAAAAGTTGGTAAATATAACAAATTATTATTTTTAGAGTTCGTGGGTTATGAATTGGGTGTTCAATGAATTATAGTGGCTGTTCAACCAAGTGAGTTGGGTTGATTGAGTGTTCAATGAAGTGCAATAGGACATTCAAACTTAAAGAATGATCAATTTTAATATACATATATTATTAATTTACTAAATGATTTTTTTTTAGGTAAATTACAAATACACTATCTGAGATTTACTTAAAATATAGATTACCTTTTATGGTTTGCAAAATTACAAATACTCCCTTATTTGAATTTTTTATTTAACAAAACTAACTAAAAAAATAAAATTCATAATTGCCCTCCTATACAATAATAAAATTACCTAAATTATTAATTGAAATATATTTTTAACATCATTAAAAACTGTTAATTGACTTAATAATTTATTAATAAAAGAGGCGATTTGTTATGAAATTAGAAACCTCAAGGGTGAAATGTAATTTTCAAAACCACAAAAGGCGATTCGTATTTTAATCAAATCTCAGAAGGTATATTTGTAATTTACCATTTTTCTTAGGTTGTTCTATTGCATAGACTATTGTCAGTTTCTATATTCAAGTGAGCTTACATTTAAATTTAAAGAATTATTACACATTCATAAAAAAAAAAATTATGTTTTTAATTATTAATATTATAAAATTTACCATTTTTTTATAAATATTTTTCAAAACAATTCCTGAAATAAATTTTTTCTAAATTTAAAGTTAGCATAACTAAACTTTTATATCCCACCATGCAAGGCTATGAGACAAAAAGAAAAAAAAATCTCACAGGATTTGGGAATCAAGTCCGCATAAAATTTTTAAATCATAATAACTTGTTTGGTTTCACTTTTCAGGATTCGCTTTTTAGAAAATTGAAATTTTTTGTTTGCGTATTTTTTTTTATTTTCACTAATTTTTTAATATTTTAAGTCATTTTTTTTTAATTTTTAGATATACCTAACATAAATACAGTTAAAAAATATAATATTTTTGAAATTATTGATTTTTAAAAATATTTTACTTTTTAGATATATCTAAGTAAGGTGTATCTAAAAAAAATAAAAAATAAATTATTTAAAATTTTAAAAATATTCATTAAAAATAAAAAAATAAAAATTCAATTTTCAGAAAATTGAATTTAAAAAATTGAAACCAAACATATTAGATTTTTTTAATTTTTATTTCTCTTTTTGTTTCGTATTAGAATTCTTATTTTTATTTCTCTTTTTGGTTTTTTTTTTTCCCATTACTTAACGGTCAAAGTATTATATTATCATAACCAACTTTTCAAGTACAAAGCAATTCAAAACATATATACACATTATAAAGGGAAAGTGAATCACAACACTTTTTGTTTGGTTTAATTTTCATAATCAATTTTTTTTAAAAAAAAGATTACGAAAAAAATAAAAGTTAATTTGGTGTAAAAAATTAAAATTACAAAAAATGCTCATCATTTTCATATATTTTTCTTTTTTGGGTGCAAAATTAATTTTTAAATAATCAACAATCCCGTTACAAGACAATTCAAAACATATACATATATAAAAAATTAACTTGGTATAAAAAAAATACTCATCATTGTCATATTGTTTGGAGGGAAAGTTTACAAGTACTGAAAAATCGGAGGGAAATAGTTACATGGGTGTGTATTGTTTCATATGGGATGAGAAGGGTATTTTGGACATTTTTGTGTTTATTGTTACTAACGTCAGGGAGCTTCTATATACACACACCCTTTCCTCTCTATACAAATCTTTCTTAATACACACACTAAAAAAATAAATCCTAATATATTTGACTCACTACACACACCTATAATTCCACATATACCCTCAAATGTAAATCATACACACACACCCCTCTCACACACACACACACACCCGTGAGACCCCTTTCATACACACACCCATCTGAGAACCCCTCTCACACACACACCCATCTCTCACACTCTCCACCGTTCCTCCCCAAAAGCTTCATCCATCCATTTGTGTCATTGAAGTTTTGGCATTGAAGGGCATTGAAGGGCATTGAAGAGCATTGAAATTTTCACATTTTAGGTTAGTTTACACAGATTATAATCTTCTCATTCCTATTTTATTTGTAATGTAGGGTTAATTTTTACCATTTTCGAAATTTTCAGTCCACTGTTATTGCCGTGTTTCATTCGGCACTGGTTGTTCGAAATTTTTGTTTTTGTTCGGCAGTAGAGTTCCGAAATTTCTGCTTCCATTCGGCACTATAGTTCCGAAAATATTGACTTGGTTCGGCTTTCAAGTGCCGAAAATAATTTTTTTTTTCGGTTTTCAACTTCCGAATATGAGCTATAATTTCGGACAACAAGTTCCGAACAGAACAGGTATTTTCGGATAACAACTTCCGAACAGAGTAGGTGTTTTCGGACAACAAATTCCGAACAGAAAATAATTTTTTTTTTTTCCTTCTAACACTTAATTAAAACACTTAATTATAACACTCACTACACACACTCTCATTATAATTTAAAACACTTATTATTTACACACACACTCTCATTAATTTTGCACACACACTCATTACACACACACTTATATTTTAAAACACTCTCATTAATTTTACACACACTATGTTTATTTACACACACACTCATTACACACACTTAGTATTTTTTGCAGATAATATGGATTCCGAATATCAATAATGTGTCCCACCTACTGCTTCAAATAGACGACGTCGTGAATTGGATGTAGACCATCAACGGGGACGAGGGCGTGGGCGAGGACGAGGTCAAGGTCGTGGTCGAGGTTGTGATCTAGTTTCGGTAGAATATGATATTCCCAGTGCCAGCCAAAGTGGGGGCCGAAGCCAAAGACGAGTTGAAGGTTATGATATGCCTGACATTGCTGTGGAGGATACCTCTTTACCTGATTCTCCTCCTGTCCAGGAAGAGTACCTTACTCATGCTTTTCCAGGTGGACCGAATGATCCGTCAATACTGCGGAGTTTCAATAGTCATGTGGCTGCAGCTATTTGGCACGGGGAGGTAAACATTCCTCAGTAAAATTGAAATTCATTTGTATATGAGTTGTTTTTTTTTTTTTTGTGTGTTGTATGGTAGTTTGTAATGAGATATCATTTGTGTTGTAGGAACGAGGGCCCCTAAAGTGTCATAATCACTCTTCCAAGATCCTTGCATGGCCATGGTGGTTAGTAGAGAACAACACCAGATTAAAAGCCATTATTGAGCAGTCTGGACTGTCACAGTTAGCTCGTTGCACTTATCGGTTCGTGAACAAGCTTCTAGTCTCATGTTTTGTTAAGAGATGGCAACCTGAGACGAACACATTTCACATGACAGTCGGTGAGATGACCTTGACCCTGGATGATGTTGGCACTATTCTTGGCCTTCCCATTGTAGGCAAATCAGTCAGCATACCAGATGTGACATATCATCATGGAGTTACATTACTCGTTTATGGCTTGGGGATTACTGAACGTGCAGCATATGAAGAGGTTTCTTCTGCTGGTGGCAATTCAGTCAGGTTTGAATGGTTGCGAAGTCAGTTTGCTGGTGTCACAGATTCAGACCCCGAGGAGGCTATACAGTGCGCTGCAAGAGGTTATTTATTGTTTCTGTTGGGATGTACACTCTTCAGTGACAAGAGTGGCGGCAGGGTTCCCGTTGTTTACCTCGGCTTGTTGATGGATTTGGGATCCATACATACTTATGCCTGGGGTGCTGCTGCATTAGCATTTTTATATCGACAGTTGGGGTTTGCTAGCCGGTCTGGGGTTAAGCAGATGGGTGGTTATATGACTCTTTTGGAGGCGTGGATTTATGAGCACTTCTGAGCATTCCGACCTCATCAGAACATGGGCTACATTGAAGACATGCCACATGTGTACCATTGGGCATCTAGGAGAGAGGCGGGTTCCTCCATTGACCATTTGAAATCTTTTCGAGCCGAGCTTGACAGTTTAGTAACTACTGATGTAAGTTTACTCATCCTGCGATAATTTTAAGACTTCCATTTATCTTACCCTTTATGTACTTTAATGCAATAGCACTTTTACGTTTACAGGTTATTTGGGATCCATACCACAGCTGCAGAGACCGGCATCCATGTAACCCGGTTACGTTCTACCATGGATGCTTAAAGTGCTTAGACGTTGTCGAACCGTATCATCCAGATAGAGTTTTGAGGCAGTTTGGCAGGGTTCAAACCATCCCAGATGCACCGCTAGCTCCTAGTCGTGGTGCACGAGGCAACATATCTGCACGATATACCGTCATGTACAGATACTTGGATAGGATGTGGGAGGCTTGGGATAACCACGTGTTGTCTGCGCAACGGAGGAGCACACCTGTTCGTCAGCCTTGGCAATGTGTACCGGGTTACATGGATTGGTATAAGAATATCGCGCACCTATATGTCGAGCACACTGATGAACCGCGTGTCCATGACCATCAGGATTTCAGCGAACATGCGGATGTAATCTATTATCCTCTCTGATGCATATGTAACTTACTTTTTTTTTTTTTTTCTGATATGTTCCCTAAAATGTGATATTCTTTTCAAATGCAGCGTATTGCACATGCACTGCAGATTTCACATCCTATTATTGACGCTGGTTATGAGGAGGGGATTCGCCATCCTTATCGACTTTACCAGGCTATCGAGAGTATGACACATGTTCTTGAAGGTCAGCACATTGACGAAGCTGGACCTAGTTCTGCTGGACCTAGTTCTGCTGGAGGTCGCTTTCCATCTTCGACGTTGACATACAGTCGTAGGCCTCGGCGTAGACGTACAGCTGATTCGTGACATGTTATGTTCTTACATGTTATTTTGTTAGTTGATGAATATTGTTTGGTGTTTTTTGGAAGATGACATTGTTGTAATGGTAACAGTGGTTAATATTTTCTTATTAGAATGGAATGGCAACAATGGTATTGTAATGACATTGTAATGACATTTTATTATTAGAATGGAATGGTAACAATGGTCGTTGATTTTGTAAATGATATTTTCTTATTACAATGGAATGGTAACCATGGTCGATAACATTCAATCCACATTGCAAAACATAACACATCAACATAAAAAACACATTCATTAATTTCTTCCATAATTGTAACATTGTCAAATGCATACATGTGTCATGCGACATCAACAACATCAAAAGTCTCTCGAGTAGCTACATTATCATGAATAATGTCCTTGAAATGTTGAATGCGACGCACATATGCATCATCCCAGTCCACAGCGCAAGGGTGACGGTATTTTCTCCAATTAGTGGCAATAGGAGGAACTGGATGGCCTGGCTGCAACAAAACCTGCACCAAATATCAATTGACTTAGTGGTCATACCTCATAACTTCTTCTACATGCATAAACGCAATTGATAAGTTTCTGTTATACCTGCACGAAATGATTTCCGTTGACAAACCCAATGGCAATCTCACGTCTATCAAGTTGAGGTACTGGCACGGTTCTAAGAGGTAAAAAGGTGAGACATTGCTGTAAAGACAAGTGGTATAACACAAGATTGTAGCACGATGCAACAAGATGACCCATGTCTGGCATAGTCATCCAAAGAGGACGAGGTCAAGGTCGTGATCCAGTTTCGGTAGAATATGATATTCCCAGTGCCAGCCAAAGTGGGGGCCGAAGCCAAAGACGAGTTGAAGGTTATGATATGCCTGACATTGGTGTGGAGGATACCTCTTTACCTGATTCTCCTCCTGTCCAGGAAGAGTACCTTGCTCATGCTTTTCCAGGTGGATCGACTGATCCGTCAATACTGCGGAGTTTCAATAGTCATGTGGCTGCAGCTATTTGGCACGGGGAGGTAAACATTCCTCAGTAAAAGTGAAATTCATTTGTATATGAGTTTTTTTTTTTTTTTTTTTTTTGTGTGTTTCCCATTAACCAAGGGCAATTTAGCAAAAAAAAAAACACTTGTCTGTCAACATTCTTTTTAAACAGCCTTTCCATTTCCAAAACTCCCAAAAACAACCTGTAAAACCCCAAAAACCAAACCCCTTCTTTCTCTCTCTCTCTCTCTCTCTCTCTCTCTCATTGTCATTGTCATTGTCATTCTCATTCATGGCGCTCCCTCAATTTCACTTCCTTCTTCTCCTAGCCCTAATCTCTCTTCTCTCTATCTCCTCCTCCTCTTCCACCACCACCATCCACGAGCTACTCCGCTCCCACGGCCTCCCACCTGGTCTCCTCCCCAATTCCGTCAAGTCCTACACTCTCTCCGACACAGGCCTCCTCGAGGTCTACCTCGATCAACCCTGTTTAACCAAATTCGATACCATGGCCTTCTACGACAGCGTCGTCAAAGCCAATCTCACCTACCGGAGTCTCTCCGGCGTCCAAGGTCTCTCTCAGGAAGAGCTCTTTCTATGGCTTCCTGTTGTCGATATCCTCGTCGATGACCCCAAATCAGGCCTCATATTGTTCGACATTGGACTCGCTCACAAACAGCTCTCTCTCTCTCTGTTTGAAGATCCACGCGATTGTAAATCTGATCAAGGTAAATTGGGTTTAGTTTTTACATTTATCGCCATGAAAATAATTCAAATAATTCAATTTTTTTTGGGGATTTTTAGCTACGTTTGATTGGATTTGAATTGATCTGATTTTGGTTTGGGAATATCTTCTGTATGGCATTCATCAAGGCTGGCTCTCTGTTAGTAACAATAACTGTTGGCACAACAAACCCATCCATGGCATCACGCAATGTAGCTAACACCCACGTATAGTTATCGACCCTCTCATACTGTAAGTATGCAAAAGCTACAGAGAATGTCATTTCAGTTGATGTCACTCCCACAATTTCAAGAAGAGGAAGCTGATATCTGTTGGTTTTATATGTGCAATCCATAATTAATATACGTGGGAAAGACCGAAATAAGTCCAAACTGGTAGGATGCGCCCGAAACAAGTCAGTCACAGTCATCGTGGACTCTTCAGACCGATGGCGCTCAATGTAATTATACTTGGCCAATTCACCCAATAAGTGTTGCATCTGTGATCTTCCAGCTCTCTGTACCACCCTGTTTCGATGACGTACATTGTAAATGGTTTTAAGTGTGCTTACATTGAGGGCATCTCGCTGTTTCAAGGTTACTAGGATTTCTTTTGGCCGAACCATGCTCTTTGACATATCCATTAACAATGCTTTCTCATCCTTTGATAGCCTCCCCGCATATGAATGTCCCTCGAGGTGCTCCGCAGGTGGATGATTATGCAATCCGCATACTACACTCAATGTCCTTTCATCATATGTGGTAAACCTATGAGCCCTCATATCAAAAGGACAACCACACTTCTTCGTACCGGTTATTCTTGATGTATTGTTGCCATCATGTTTTAACTTCTTTGTTGCTCTATATTGGCCACTCCTCTCACAAGCAAGATACATCCTGAGTCTTTTTTTCCCTCCACCATAGTCTGATGTTTTGATTACAATGACCAAACCATTTCTCTTTCCAACTTGACGTACCCAGTTGAGCAATTCATCCTTACTTTTGAATACCTACAAAGTTAAATAAATATTATCAAACATTTACATTTGGTGAGCAATTCAAAACATAATCGTTATAATTTCGTAGACTGAATCTGTTCAGTTGTGAAATGAGTGGTGTAATCTAACACAAAATTCGCGCAAACCTGACTTCCTTGAGTTGACACATATTCCTGCATGTTTTGTATAACATTACAAATTTTTAATGGCATTATAAAGATTAATTTTCAATTTGAAACTGTAAATTTGGTATGCAGTTTGCAAATTTGGAATATAAAATGGAAAAAAAAAAATTTACTTCATTCGGAAGTAGTTGTCCGAATTTTTTTTCAAATTTCGGAAGTTGAATGTTGTATAAGTTAACATTTTTCGGACAACAACTTCCGAATTTATATATCTTTCTCGGACAACAACTTCCGAAATTTATCACTTTATTCGGACATCAACTTCCGAAAGTACATAATTATTTCGGTAGTACATTTCCGAACAAAATAACAAAATTCGGCTCTGGTTATCCGAACGACGCTGCGAAAAAAAAAAAAATTAAACTCACATTTCCTTCGCTCTGCTTCACATGAATACTTATTTGCTGATTTTCAGAAGACAAATCCTCCATCACAAATAAGTAATGAAGAATGAGGAAGGAAAAATGAGGAAGACAGCTTGTGGAAGGAGTGTGGAGCTTGTGCAAGGAGTGTACAGTAATGGAGAATGGAGTAACTTTGGAGCTCTGGTATGGAGTAACGTGTGTGTGTGTGGATCATTTAGCAAAATGAGGAAGCAGAGGCATTGCAACGTCTGTGTGTGTATTAAGAGGATGTGTGTTTATTTGAATTGTGTGAGATGTCTATAATGGTAATTTTATTTAGGGATAAAATTGTAATAAAAATAAAATTCATTAAGTGTGTGCAAAGAGTGGAATTGGTGTGTGCAAATAGAGGCTCCCCTAACGTCACTGTTTTTTTGTTGCTTTTGTAATGTGCTTCTAACAAAAAAGAGAATCTGGTTATTATTTTCAAAAGTACGGGAGGTTTGTGTAATTTTTGAAATCATAAGAGATATCTGTAATTAAGGTAAATTTTAGGAAAAGTAAGTGTAATTTACCCGAAATGAATGAGTGAAAATGAATATTAAGCGTAATAATTTTTGTGTTTTAATTTTATTATAAAAAAATAAAATTATATGCCATATATATAAATATATTTAATAGATATAGGTCCTGTTTGGTAGGGCTTATTTCTAACTTATTTCAACTTTTAACTTAATTTAAGCTATTTTAATGTGTTTGGTTCAGCTTAACAATACAGCTTATAGCTTTTTGTAAGTCAAAAATTAACTTATTCTTTGAGTGGGGGAGGAGAAGCTTAATTTATAAGTAAAAAATCAACTCATGTTCACAGCTATAAGTTATAAGCTGTTAGACTATAAATTATAATCATTTTCTCACAGCTCTACCAAACAGGGCCATAATCAAGCCTTGGGTGGCTATAATGGGGCGGAAAAAGTAAGGCTCCGTTTGGTTGGGGTTTCAAATTATAGTTTCACCCATTGATTTGAGTGTGTTGTTTGTTTTTAACTTTTAAATTATAATTCTACACCCATTTTTCAAAACCCAATTCAAAACATAATCATTACTTTTCAAAACTCATAAGCAAATACATAATTCAAAACTCTTTTCAAAACTCAATTCAAATCAATATTTTAATTTTTTAAAATATTTTAAATATTTAAATTTAAAAAGATTTTTTTAATTTTTTTAATTTTTTGAATATTTTTAAATATTTTAATTTCAAAATTTTAAATTTTAAAATATTTTATAAAAATAAATTCAAACTCTATTTTATAAAAATAGCGTTTGGTTATGCGTTTTAAAAATAATTTCATAATTGACTTTTGTTTTATGTGTTTGGTTACGATTTGAGTGTAGAGTTGTTTTTAAATTTAAAATATTAATATTTGAAATTATTTAAAATTTTGGAATATTTAAATTATTTAAATTTTTACGATTTAAATTTTTGGAATATTTATTTTAATTTTTTACTTATTAAATTTTTTAGATTATTTAAATATTTATGATTTAAATTTTTTGAATATTTATTTTGAAAAAAAATTATTTCCTTTGTAGTATTTTCAATTAAAAAATTGATTAATGTTATTTTCTGTTAATAATAAATTTTTTTAATTGAATTTTAAAAAGAGTTTGGTTATGAGTGTTGATCAGAATTTTTAATAGTGTGAAAGTAGTGTATTTTGTTATGAGTTATAACAATTTGAATTAAGTTTTGAAAACTCTTTCTAAAACTCATAACCAAACTAATTTCCTTACTTCACATGTCAAATCAAACTTTCAAAACTCAATTGCACACTCAATTCAAAACTCAATTCAACAAAAACTATAATCAAACAAATTTTCTACACTCAAATCATAATTTCACAACTCATAAACTCAAAATACAACTCATACTCTCAAATCATATTTACAAAACTCGACCAAACACAACTTAAAATTTGCTATCATCCCACTTTCTCATTGGGGGAAAATCCCGTGCGAGGTAGGACGAGAGATGCAGGATGAAGCTAGCGGGAAAAAATTGCCTTCCCTACTCAAGAGAGAAGTTTTTGGTTGCGTTGAGTATTGCTCTACACCCCTTAACGTAAGACATTTAGGTTGTGTTTGGTAGAGTTTTATAATTATGGTGTAAAATTATGATTTGAGTATGAAAAATTTGTTTGGTAAAGAATTTTGAATTGAGTTGAAAATTGTTGATGTGATATTTGATATAAAAATTTACAACTCATAACCAAACATAAACTCAAAATTAATTTAAAGCACATAAAAAATTTTAAAAAATTCAGAAAATATTTTTTTCGAATATATAAAAATTAACATATCAATTGCGCGCAAAAAAAAAAAAAATCATTGTTCTGGTTAACCGGCCGGTTAATTGGCCGGACGTCCGGTTTTGCCAAATTTGAAAAAAAAAAATTCCGAAAACGGCGCCTCAGACACAGTGTTTTCTGCAGAGTTTTGGAAATGCATTTTGAGAACTCTAACCAAACATGATGTTTGAATCAATGTGTAGAATCATGATTACAAAACACAACCAAAAGATACAATTAATGAAATCTATTGTTTTAACCAATCAAAATCAAATTGAAATTGAAATTTATTTTATGTGTAGGCCCTGGACAAATTTAAGAGTGATTTGGGATATTCTAAATAAGCATATTTTTTGATTTTTTATAAAAAAAAGGGATAAATTACATATACTCCTCTCGAAATTTAGCTAAATTATAGATATCTCTTGAGATTTGAGAAATTACAGATACTCCTTGAAGGTTATATTTGTATAACAAATTATGGGACAATTTGTTATGAAAATATAAATCTCAAAGGGCAATTTGTTATGAAAATATAAATCTCAGGACGTATCTGTAATTTCTCAAACTTCAGCGATATCTGTAATTTAGTTAAATCTCGAGGGAGATATGTATAATTTATCCTAAAAAAATGTATAGAAAAGTAAAAACGAAGATATTGATTGATATCACTTAAAAATAAATAAATAAATAAATAAAAATAAGAGATTAAAATAGTGTATGCCACGTAATTACTCATTCGGAAGAATCTTGATCATTTTGTCTGGTTACCGGACTTTTGCTTATAAAAAACGCCACCCCGCTTCTCACAAGTGTCTCTTCCGAGCCTTTCTTCATTCATTTGTTTTGTTTCTCTGTTCAAAGGTTGAAACTTCATTTTCTCTTTACCAAAATCCTTCTACCTCTTCAAATGGCACAGGTAAATATCTGTCAATTCATGGTTATTTTACACGGCTATTTACGATTTTCAAGAATTATAATAAACACCAATTAATAATAGACACGGCCATTCTTTTTTGTTTGCAGAAGGTGGTGTTGAAGGTCATGACCATGACTGATGAGAGGACAAAGCAGAAAGCCATTGAAGCCGCGGCCGATATCTACGGTATCTATTCTCTTTGCGGGTTTTCGTTTTTCAATTAAATTATGCAATTTTTTCTTCTGCAATTAGCATGTTCATAACATCAGTTTTTATTATTATTATTTTTTTCTTTCTCGCAATACATCAAGATCTAAGAGTCTGTCTTTAAATCAACCATATCAGTGATGGACTTTGATAAATGATTAATTGATAATTGATGAGGGTGGGGGGACATACAGGAGTTGATTCGATAACGGCAGATCTGAAGGAGCAGAAGCTAACAGTGATAGGAGAGATGGACACAGTGGGTGTGGTAAAGAATTTGAAGAAAGTGGGGAAAGTTGATATCATCTCAGTAGGCCCAGCCAAAGAAGAGAAAAAAGAAGACAAGAAAGAAGAAAAGAAAGATGACGGCAAGAAAGAGGAGAAGAAAGAAGACAAGAAATAAAATTAATCCACCAATATTCCCCCATTTACAACTACTAATTTTCATTCCTTTTTTAGTTGTGTTGTGTGGCAAAACTTTTTTTAGTTGGCATTTTGGAATTGGGACTTCTTTTAGTTTGAGATTAAAGATTTTGTTTGGATTGATTTTTTTTATTAATTTTTATTTTTATTTTTATGAGATAAAAAATAAAATAATTATAATTTGAATATAATATTTTATGGTATTAATTTTTTAATTTATTTTATCTTTTAGTAATTAATTTATCTCAAATTATGATTACCCAAAGAAACCTTAATCTTCTTGTGCCACTACCTATATATGTATATATTCCTACATAGCATTCACCATTGAAAAGAGATGAACAAAACTTCAATTACTGCAATTTTTTGCATGAAATTTTTTCTTTTTAGCCTCCGTTTGACAGGTTGGTTTTGAAGTTTTTTGGGCTGAAGTAGTCACAAAAAACAAAGCAAGTTTTTTATTCCAATAAGATAAAATATCACATTTAACTTATAATTATTATATTCTTTTTTTCATAAAAAAGTTAAAAAAACTAAAAAAGTTAAAAAAATTAAAAATTCTTCCTAAATTAAGTTTTTTAGCTTCAGATTAAAATAATTAAAAAAAATCAAAAAATTAACAAGTCAATCCACTTTTCAACCTTTATTATTATTACTTAAGAAAGTAATTGATTTGTCTTCGAAGACTGATCTGGTATCCTGAGTAAATTCATATGCAAGCTTTTACTTTTTATTTTTTATTTTTATATGAGAAGATCTAATTTACTTGAGTTAGGACTTGCATCATCTCTAGGCATTTTACTTATAAAATATGTATTTGCCTTGGTTTGATTATCATTTTGGGACTAAAAAAAGTATAAAATGACAAAACAGGTTAAATAAGTTAATAAGATAAAATATCACTTTTAATCTATAATCATTACATTTTTTCTCTCATAAAAACTAAAAAAATTAAAAAATTCAAACCAAACGAGGATAAATAAGCTAAGCTAAAACTAATACAAAAAAATTGACTATATTAGCTAATATCAAAAGAAGCTTTATAAAATATGCATTTTATTTTGTCTATTTACTTTCTACATATTTTGTTCCAATTTTGTTCTCTATGTTTAATTGTTCATTTGCATACCATTTATTTTTTGAAATGTCACATTAATAGTAAAGGTGTAGAAAAAAAATATCATATGAATTAAATATATTTTAATTAGCTTTTGAAAATTACCTACATTTGTTGGTGAATGTGGGTTAAGGTAAAATGACTATGCCTAATATATTGGAGTTGAAAAAAAGTGAAATATACTAAATATTTTGACTAACAAATATTATCTATTAGATTAGAGATTTTATGTTTCAATTAACATTTTGAAACATTTTAAAATGAAAAGATGGAATGACAAAATCAACAAAGATTACTTTGTGAATAATTAAGAGGGGTAAAATATAATTTATTCAAATTTAAATTGATTATTGACACAAGTTTTCTCTTTTATTTGTGAACAAGTGATTGTCCACACAATAGAAGGCTCAGCAAATCCCAAAAGCTATCAAATTCTCCACATCAGAAAAGGCATTTACATAGGAAACAAATGCTTGCTGATCTCTTCAGAGAGAGAGAGAGAGAGAGAGAGTCAAATCTGATGAAAAAAATGACGATTTTTTCAATTTGATACGAGGTGCTCCAACGGTGAGCATCAAAGCAAAATTAGGGAGGTGGTCGACCGGTTTGGGCAATTTTTTATTTTTTTTTTATTTTTTTTTTTACCTGTTTGAACCTTTTTTGACCGGTTTGAACCTAGTTGGTCAACCGGCCGGGCAACCGATGTATCTGTTTCAACGGTCAGTAACAGTGATTTGGTAAAATCCGGAACTTGTTCTCAGTTTGATACTTTTTTTGCTGATTTCTCACTTTGATATTCATTTGATGCAACGGTTGGAGCATGGAAAAATATATTTTTCATCAAAATTTAAATCTGATATCAATTTTGGTTCACCGTTGGAGATGGTCTTAGGACTTGCATCATCTCTAGGCATTTTACTTATAAAATATGTATTTTATTTTGCCTTGGCTTGATTATCATTTTGGGACTAAAAAAAGGTATAAAGTGACAAAACAGGTTAAATAAGTTAATAAGATAAAATATCACTTTTAATCTATAATTATTACATTTTTTCTCTCATAAAAACTAAAAAAATTAAAAAGTTCAAACCAAACGAGGCTAAATAAGCTAAGCTAAAAATGTCCTAATACAAAAAAATTGATTATATTAGCTAATGTGAAAAGAAGCTTTATAAAATATGCATTTTATTTTGTCTATTTACTTTCTACATATTTTGTTCCAATTTTGTTCTTTATGTTTAACTGTTCATCTGCACACCATTTATTTTTTGGAAGGTCACATTAACAGTAAAGGTGTGGAAAAAAATATCATATGGATTAAATATATTTTAATTAGCTTTTGAAAATTACCTACATTTGTTGGTGAATGTGGGTTAAGGTAAAATGACTATGCCTAATACATTGGAGTTGAAAAAAAGTGAAATATACTAAATATTTTGACTAACAAATATTATCTATTAGATTAGAGATTTTATGTTTCAATTAACATTTTGAAACATTTTAAAATGAAAAGATGGAATGACAAAATCAACAAAGATTACTTTGTGAATAATTAAGAGGGGTAAAATATAATTTATTCAAATTTAAATTGATTATTGACACAAGTTTTCTCTTTTATTTGTGAACAAGTGATTGTCCACACAATAGAAGGCTCAGCAAATCCCAAAAGCTATCAAATTCTCCACATCAGAAAAGGCATTTACATAGGAAACAAATGCTTGCTGATCTCTTCAGAGAGAGAGAGAGAGAGAGAGAGAGAGAGAGGGGTTCACATAATCAGATTGCTTGAATATGGCTCCTTTATTCATGGTGACAAAAACATTAGATCACTTGATGTGCGATTGTTGTGGATATGTTTCCTAATTGAGCACTCCCAATCCATTTTCAATGATAGGGAATGGACCACGTAAAGGGAGACACATTACACTATTCTTGCGGTCTCTGTATTCTTTCTCATTCACCTCATTAGAGGTCAAAATGAGAGTGATGTATTAAGGGATGTATTACCACTCTTCTTAATTATTGTATTGGTCACGCCTCATAAATATATGACCCGAAGTATCCATATTCACACCCAATTCTATACCGTGCTCAAATGACAAAAGGAAGCTTAATTAAATGCCAACATATTATATTCATAATGAAAAATGGTTAAGAACACTAAAAGTGATTGCTCTAATAGCACCATTAATGATGTGGCAGTGGGCGTGCCTTTTTTTTTGGCATTCCCAATGCATTAGTGTTGTTAGTGGTCTTTTTTTTAGTTGTATGAATCATTGTTGATTCATAATATTCTTGTTAAGATTACAAGATCATATCACATGCATTGATACATTCAATAACTATAAAACCTGAATCTATAGCATGTGAAGACAAAGATTAATATCTAAACTATTACAAGTTTATGCACTTAATGGCTACAAGTTTCCAAAGGTTGTACATGGTTAGAACAAAAGTGGGTCTTAACTAAAAGCTCTAGGCTTACACAAAAAAAAGATACAAAATGAGCGCTCAACCCCAACTTCCCATCAGCACCTGAAATGTTTTTTCATGTAGCGTGAGCTAAAGCCCAGTAGAGACAAGTTTAATGACATGTATGATATTTAATAAAACCATATGATGAATGTATGCGAAATGCCGTTACAAAACATGCATTTTTGCTTTAGTTATGGACGAGTTGACGATAAATATTCAGGATGATGTGCCATGGTGCATGCTTTTTGCAGACGATATTGTGCTAGTGGATGAGACTAGAGAAGGAGTTAACACAAAGTTAGAGATTTGGAGAAAAACTCCTGAATCTAAAGGATTCCGGATAGACAGAACTTAGACAGAATACATGGAGTGTAAATTTAGTAACAGTAATAATGAAAGCAGAGGAGAAGTGAAGATTGAGAACCAAGAATTGCCTAAGAGTGAACATTTTCGTTATTTAGGATCGATTATCACAACAGCGGGAGAGATTGATGCAGATGTGGCCTATAGGATTAAGGCGGGATGGTGTAAGTGGAGAAGTGCGTCTGGGGTATTGTGCGATAAACGAATACCCACTAGACTAAAAGGTAAGTTTCATAGAACGGCTATTAGACCAGCTATGTTGTATGGGACAGAGTGTTGGGTAACCAAGAAACAACATGTAAATAAGATGAGTGTGGCTGAGATGATGATGCTAAGGTGGATGTGTGGTAAGACTAGACAAGACAGGATTAGGAATGAGTGTATCCGAGAATGGGTAGGAGTAGCACTGATAGAAGATAAGTTGAGAGAGAATCATTTGAGATGCTTTGGTCATATTCAATGGAGACCAACAGAGGCAGTAGTGAAGAGATGCGATGTTGCAACGGTAGATGGAAGTGTTAGGGGACGGGGTAGGCCTAGATTAACGTTGACTAGCATTTTAAATAGAGATATGAATCTATTTAATTTGACTAATGAAATGGCCTTTGATAGGGCCGTGTGGAGAAGAAGGATTCATGTAGCCGACCCCATTTGATGGGACGTAAGGCTTGGTTTGGTTGGTTGGTTGGTATCTTTGCCTCAAAACTGAAAATAGGGTAGTAAATTCCCACACAAATAATCTATAGGTGTCTGCTAGTATGCTATAAAAGCACTACCAAAGCTACTTCACCGACAGCTAACTGGAAGCAAGACAATCTAATCGCGCGGATTTCTAGACTTACACCATGGATACACAGGCCAACTTAATAAACCACAACCACATCCCTTAACCAGATTTACCACGCTATTAACCCTTTTTTCTCAAAATAATATTTTTCAAATGCATAAGTATGAAACAATTGATTAAATGAAATGCATAAGTGAATTGATTTCAGTCAACTTAGCTCTCATGCACTTTTTACAACAAATTAATGCTATCCTCCACTGATAGCTAAAAACAATTATATCTAGTCAATGTATATTCCAAAAACAGACAACATATATATAGAGCACACCAATAATTTCCAACAAAATCAGCAAAATGATATATTCTTATCATTCCCATATA